TCCGAAGGAATAAATTCTTTCTTTCTAACTGAATGTGGTTTGTTCAAGCAAAATTGTACTGGTTCCGGGTTTCCCTGCTTTTTCTTATACTTCACACTCCTTTAGTATAAATACTACGCCAATTTTCATTTCTCTTATATCTTGACTGAACTTATGTAATATTTGAGTTCTCTTCTAGCAAAGCTTTTATTTGAACTTATGTTATTTGTATTTAAGTTGTTATTGTCAGATCAATGCGATCATATGTTATCAAACAACCATTAATAGAATTCGAGTTTTAACCTTGATTTTTCCTAGTACCGGGAACTTCCGATTCCCTATATTCAAGGAAAAGCCTTAGACAAGAATTGGCTTTAGACACGAAGGAGAGCCATTTCACGCTGTTATTCAAACGAGGTAGAAAAACAACAACGGGATGAAAAGCGGGGACAAAATTTTTATTACGCTCACGAACAATTTAAACACATAGGAATGAAATTGTCACCAGAAAATTAGTACTCATCTTCGTATTCGAAAACATAGAGACATTTTTTTTTGATTTTGAAAAATAGCCAGAAAAAAAGCAGTGACGTTGCTTACATTGTTCCTTTTTTGTAAAGATGCATTGATTGCAAATTTTTCTCTGTTTTTATAGGCATTGAATTGTAATGTAAGGAAGTTATGTAAGGAAAGGGAAGTTCTTTCCCTTTAGGCAAAATATCAATAAAAACTTTCAACTAAATTTCAACTAAGTTGTTTGATAACTTTTGATCTGTGAACTGGCAACAAGCATAAATTCAATTGACATTTGAAAACACTTTTTTAGGAGGTAACCAAAATTTGGTTATTCCGTTGAGATTAAATGACAATTCATTGGAGATAGAGCTCAGCAAAGCCGTGATCTTGATTGGAAGAAAAAAATTAGACTTTTTTAAACTGAAAAAATGTAATCTCCCATAATGAATTTCGAAGTTGGCTAAGCGCGTCTTTTGATTTTCAGATGAATCATATATCGGTTACGTAGCAGTATTTAGACAACCGCGTATTCAGACTCGTCAGTATTTAGACAAATACTGTATTAACCAATCAGAATCGAGACAAGGAAGAAATGAATATTGCTCAGGAAAAACAATCAATGTTAGTTAAGAGAACGTTTTCGATTGATTACAATCATCGTCAGTCTAAAAAAGGAAAAACAATAAACGTACAATCCAAAGTGTACAAAAAGAAAAAAATCAAAAAAGAAAAATGTAAAAAACAGTATAAAAATAGCACCGAGAGATCTAAAAAAATATAGATATCTTTAAGCCATCTTTAAGCCATCTTTGATGGGCCAAAAAAGATGTTTTTCTAAACCTTGACTGTGAGTTCGCGCGACCTGTATTCTTCTTTTCTTTTCATCCTTAGTTTGAGTCGGTTGATGTGGAGGGCCTCAAGCGTTAAAAGTTTGACATGGTCGTTAGATCGATCTGTGATCTTTGCCATCAAGTTTTCTGTGTTGCCAACGCATTGTGTCATGTGTTCACCCACTGGAGTAGAGATCCGCGAATGCTCGTTAAGGCGTGTGATGAGGTGTCGGGTTGTCTGCGCACCATAGCTGGCACTACAGCCAGGACAAGTGATATGATACACCACATTACTTCAGAGATGATTCAAGATCAAGGATTTTAGAGAGGGGACAGCAGTTTTCAGTTTCCGGGTAGTCAAAATAACAGGGACACGAGTAATATTGTTCAAATGTCTTTTAAACGTGTCACTCACAGTGCCTTTGTATTGCAAAGTGAACATTGTTGACAGAACTTTGTCTTTCTTCTACGTTGATTTTCGGCCCCAACAGTTTATCAATAGTTTCTCTGACGATGGTTTCGTAGAATTGGGGCGGATACTGGTTTGCTTCCCATATCTTCTTTGCCTTTTGAATACCAGAATGGAAATTGTTCCATGTCGTTGTGGCATTGTAGATGCGGTGAATGCAGCCCTGAATCATGTTGCGTTTGTAACCAATCGGTGCAAGGGCTCTGAAGGAAAGGACCAGTCCAGTATCCGTGGGTTTCTGATACCAACTCGTACTCACACATGCATCCTGGCGAACATGTCCAGAAAAGGGATACCGTTGTATCTCAATCTTTCGATAGTACATTCCAAGTTGTGATGAAGCGTGTTGACCCTGTCTAAGATACTGTCGATAGAGTCACTCTGCGCAGATCTCAAGATATCGTCTACATAGCGTCCTAAGATTTTTCCCTAATGGCCGGAACCGTCTCCTCTTCTTGGCACTGAGTGCAAATCCACTGGTCACCATGCATGTTCTTTATTGCATTGAGTGAGATCTCACTGCCTTTACGATGAACTTGCATTTCTTGCACCGTATAGAGTATCTTTTCCAAGTAACCTTCTTGGCGCGGACGGGACACATTGTCTTATCATCAGTCGCAGATCTTTTTGCTCTGTATTGGTGGATTGTGGTTCATCTGAGGCAATATCATCTTCAAACCGCCTCATCCAATTATTGACCAGAATAACCGCCATTGCAGCTCGCATCGCGACTCCATCCTTTTGAACGTACCATTTATCGCCACACATGAAGTTGACATCAGTAACTGCCAGTTGCATGAGTTGCTTGCATGTAGCTCTGTCGATTTCCGGGGCCGAGTCAGAGTTTTAAAGCAAGTGGCAAGATATGGCAATGGCCTCCGCAACTGGTACGTTAGTGTAGAGACTTTTCACGTCTAAAGAAAAAATGTCTTCGTCGTCCAGCAATTGTACGTCCGTGAGTCTCTTTTTCATGTCAGTGGTGGATGTTTCAATATTGGCACCAGGGAACCGGCTGAACAATTTAGCAAGCCCCTTGTTGATCTTATCATAGCAGCTACCAGGTAAAGAGAGCACCGGTCTAAAAGGGGTTGCTTTTTTGTGTACTTTTGCCAATCCATATAACCTGGCCGGTTGGGCACCCGTAGAACGAAGGTGTTGATAGAGCGACATTGGAATCTTCTCACTGTCGGCAAGTTGTTTCAGTGTTCTGTTGAACTGCTCTTCCACTTTCAAAGTAATCTCTTTCCGTGAGGTGGGCAAGATCTCAAATTGAGGGAAGTTTAGTATGTCATCCAACTTAGGAAATAGAAACTTGAATAATTAATTATTATTTATTTCGTAAATTTGCGTTCTCATCTTGACTGTGATTGGTTAATATCGTACTTGTCTGCTTACTGACGAGTATGAATACGCGGTTGTCTTAATACAGACCGCACTCCCATATATCATACCGTTGTCGGCGTTTTGTAACAGATTACATCCATCACAGAGTAGATTTTGTATATCACCGACATATAATTTGAAGAACAATGGACCTATTACCGTTCCTTGTGCCACTTTTCGTTTAAAATCGATCTTTTTGGAAAAATTTACGTTAGGTTTTTTCTTTGGATGCAGTCATTCAAAAAGCTTTCTATCAATGCACTACAATTCTTGAGAAATTCGGTTTGCGTAATTTTTTAATTTATTTTTAATATTAAATAGAGTCAAAAGCCTTCGAAAGTTCCAATAACGCTACATGAACGATTGTTTCACTAATCAATTTCCTGAGTTTTTTTTCTGTTATATAAGATAAGAACATCTTACGTTGAAATTTTTGCAAAGTCCAAATAAAAAAGGGTCATAATCTGATGTTTTTGCGGAGCGCAGCTTCGCGTTTGTGTTAAGATTTACTGTTTTGACAGTTCAAATGCAAATTTTAAAATTCGGTTGCAATTTCAACTATTTCGTGTCAAGGGCAGAATTAATTCACAAATTTAACAGACAGAATTAATTAAAATGAGCAATCAGTGCTTTTCGGACGCTTTTTTGCATGCAAAATCTGAAGCCGGACAACCTTGAACTTTTTGTCTGACCAAATTCGAAATGCAAGATCGTCGATTATCCGATGATTATGCTAGCCTAATTTTCAAATACTGCGATGAACATCCAGATTCACTATAAAATAGTTAGCAAAATTAGTTAGAAAATCGAAATCTAGAATTATTTTCAACAAAAAAAAACAAATTTTTTAGTCCGCCCCAAAAAAAATCAAACAGAAGTGAAGATGATCAAATCATTCAGAAAAACATGAGCCACCCTGAGCAACAACTTTTCTGTTACAAGGTTTACTATTCGAGGCTTCCGATGCAATTTCCCGCCGTAGTTATAAGTTCGAGCGAAACTCTGCTGATGACTTTTAGACGTTATGTTTATTTCAGTTTTAATTTCCGTTGATGTCTAGACAGTTGCTCTTTTTAATTAATTCTGTCTGTCCGAACTTTTTGCAACTCTCTATATTTGGTTTTTTAAGTTCATAGGTGAAACATTTTTATCTATAGAGAGTTGCAAAAAGTTCGGACAGACAGAATTAATTAAAAAGAGCAACTGTCTAGACATCAACAGAAATTAAAACTGAAATTAATAAAACGTCGAAAATTCATAAAGCAGAGTTTTGGCTCAAAATCTATAACCACGGTGGGAAATTGGATCCGAAGCGTCGAATAGTAAACCTTAAAACAGAAAATTTATTGCTCAGGGTGGCTTATGTTTCTTTGCGATTAGTTTCCAAATTTTGAATGATTTGATCAACTTCACTTCCGTTTTTTTTTGGGGCGTCCTAATCTGTTTTTTTATTGTGTTGAAAATAACTCTAGCTTTCGATTTTTTAACTAATTTTGTTCACAGTTTTATAGTAAAATCTGGATGTTCATCGCAGTATTTAAAAAAATTAGGCTAGCAAAATCATCGGATAATCGACGATCTCGCATTTTGAACTTCGTCTGACAAAAAATTCAAGGTTTTTTGGCTTCAGATTTTGCATGCAAAAAAGCGTCGAAAAGCACTGGTTGCTCATTTTAATCAATTCTGTCTGTCCGAACTTTTTGCTGCTAATTATACAAAGGCGCAAAATACAAGTAACTGCCATTCTCACAGTTCGGTTAAGCACTGCCTTGATTTGTTTTAAACAATAAGATCTCGGGATTTTGCTCTGAATTTTGTTTTAGGAAATTTATCCGAAAGTGTAAAGATAAGTGGACTAGTACGACCAGAACCAATTTGGTATCCGGATACTTACTTTCAACTTGTCCACTCGCTTATCTACAGTGCCGAAGAACAGTCAGTTGAGTTTTTACCCACAGGATATGTTGAATTCATCCGCAAAGTACGTCTAGTTACTCCATGCGCACCAAACGTGTTAATTTTCCCTTTTGACATCGCAACGTGTTCGCTACAGCTTTCGAGTTTTGGCAACAATATTGCAACTGTGCGCTATATCTGGGATGTGGAGAGAACTAAAAATGGGGTTTTCGTAGATCCAATCAACAACGATGCTGACCATATTGGTTTTGACCTCCTACCGACTGAACATCTGAGTGTGACATGCGAATATGGCCCTGATAATTTTTCTTGCCTGAAAGCTCTGGTATCTCTCAAACGCAATTACTCCTCATATATACTGCAAATTTATGTCCCCGCTCTGCTTCTGGTAATTCTCAGCTGGCTAACTTTCTGGGTTAACATCAATGCAACACCTGCCAGAGCTAGTTTGAGCGTCACCACAGTTCTTTCAATTCTAACTTTAGCGACCAGAAATGCGAGTGACAACGAGAAGCACGTCAGTGGCAAAGTGACAGCTTTGGACATTTATGTGTACGTGTGTTTCGCGTTTGTGGTGACGGCTATGCTTGAGTTCTCGCTCAGCGATTTCGTGTCAGCGAAATTTGCGGCTAAAGGCAGTGTAGATGTGCTTGAGTGTCGACAGGGTTTTTACAAGACGAAGATCAAGTTATTGATAAGCGATGGCGAAAGCGTGAACAAGGTGGCTCGAATCTTGGTGCCTTTGTCTTTTCTCTTGTTTAACATCATCTATTGGCTGATTCTTTGGATTGCAATCAATAATCAACAATAGACGCAAACGGTACAAAATAAAGAAATTTGAATTGTCATGACAAGAATCTTATAATGTTTTGCAATTTTACATGAGATGTAGATTAAACGAGTTTATCTTTGCTATTTGTAGCGATATTCTGTTAAGTAAGTTCTACGCAGAAGTCGAGTTTATGAATTTTTCTCTCAATCAATTAAACTATCTCAACATGAAATTTAACAAGTTTGGTTTCAATCACTTTAAAGATAGATTAGCGGCAATTGAAACCTTTCAAATACAAGTTTTACATAAGGAAGCAAATTTTAGAAATTTTTGTTCCGACCACGGCATTGAAGTTGACTGGAAGGAACTATGGAGTAGGGTCCCTTTTTTCCTCCAGCCGTTTTTAGTAACTCAAAAACAGTTCCTAGTTGATCAACCAAGTGTGGTATCATATTGAAGCGTGAGAAACCTATTGATAGTGATTCAGATTTTAATATATTTCAGAAAAGTATTTGGGTTGAGAAAACTGGTCGTATTTTTTTTTTTCGTTTTGCAGACTTATTTAGACGAAATTGGTTGGAATGCTGGTCTTCCAACTTTAAATCTTTACGCTTAGGATTAGCAAGCGTTATCAAATCGGAATGTACTTTTGTTTTTGGGTTTATTAGTTTATTAAAATCAGTAGAATCATTTATTCAAGATCAATAAGTACTGATCATATAAGTGATTTTGATGATAAGTGATTTTGATGATCATTTTTTTCGGCTCAAGTGGTGTTTGAATTTCAAATGTCTTGGTTAGCATGTGTGCCTAGAAGCTCTTTTGCATACGCGACTCGGCACATTTTTTGACAAAAATTATGGCCCTCGAAAAAGTCATTTTTTTGTCCGGTTTTTGATTTTTCTTGAACTACTCTGCCAAACCTATGTCTTTAGGTTCAATCGGCATAAAAAGTTGGGTCAATCTTTTCTGCATAAGTGGCTACGCCCAAATATCTTTTAAAACGAAAAGCTATGAGTCTCGGAAATGTCAACTTTCTGAATTGTTGACCATTTTCTGGACTTTTCTCGATAACTATCCTGCCAAATATGATATCATAGGATCAATCGTCAAAACAGGTTTTTGAAAGGGTTCATTTATAATTTGCTACGCCCAGTTTTTTTAATAAAAAGTTACGACCTTCAAACAAGTGAAGGTTTTGAAACTTCGCCCGTTTTTTGGAAGTTTTTTTACTTTGTACTCGAAAAATACCGTGGCAATTCTCAGGTTAAGTGTTCAATCGAGAAAACCGATTTGGGGAATCTTCTCTTCTTTACCGGCCACGACCTGTTTCTACGGTCTTTGGAAAATCAAGTTTTGAACTTTGCTTTTAGAAACTTTTTGATTTTTCTTGAAAATTACACTATCAATTCTGAGATGAAAAATTCAATCGACAGAAGAGGTTGCGCGATTTTTTTCCTGCTGAAGCGGCTATTCCTTAAATTTTTGTTAAAATTTTCACACTTCTCATTTATTTTAGTGATGAAATGCGTAGTTTTTGAAATTACGCATTTCGTCCCGAATCACTATAACAAACTCAAAACATCAAACACGTACTTCCAGCTTTGGCCGGACCCTAGGTGTCCTTCGTCGACACGTATGAATTTTTTTGATTGCGTTGTTTTGCAAGTGGCGCGAAGCTCCACTTCGCCTCTGTGTTTACCATTTAAATTTTATTTCAACTATAAATATATTTTTTTCCGTGATCGTGGTTGGGATACTAATAAATTTCAAGAAAGTTGTTCGTGTTGAGAAAAAAATGTCTTATTATTTTTTTTTTCGTTTTTCAGACAAATTTAGACGAAATTGGTTGGAAGTGTGATCTCACAGGTTTAGTTCTTCTACCATTTAAACTTCATTTCAAGGATACTTACCTCTTTTCCTTGCATTTGTCGCCTAATTTAATCTCCAGTTCTCGAAAAAATTGATATTAGACAAAAATCAATTTAGTCGGAAACCTCTATGCTTCTTAACAGCCATCGGCTATCCTTGTTACATTACAGCAGGCTTATTTTTTCTGTTTTAGTGGTTGAAATTTGGTGTTTTCGAAGCTACTCTTGAAATTTATCTATCTATCTATACTATATTTAAATGCGTATGACAGAAATGATTTAAATGCGAAGGAGGGAAGCGCAGTGTAGTGTAGTGTAAAGATTGAGTTCAACCATCTAGATTTCAAAAAAATAGGTTTCAAGTCTTGCTCCATTTATAACGGCTCAAAGTTTTTTTTCGAGATATTCATTTCTTATGATTTTTCTTAAAAAATTATTTCAAAAAAACTTGTTTAAAAAATTCTAACGGAACTTGAATATTTCTGCCCTTTGATTGTATGCTGTCATGGTACACTTGAGGGTTGCAAATCTGGCTTGAAATATTACTGCACCAACCGTTTTGTTTTCCGAGATCTGGCGTTTTTTATGATTTTACAAAAAAAATATGTTTTTGGAAAAGAAGATCGTTCAGCTAGATTGAAGGGTTCCAGTCTTTGTGATTGAGGTAGCCCATGTTAAGTTAATCACACAATTTCATCATCTGTTCAAATGTTGCCAGCAAACGCTTCAATACACTCTGAACAGTCTCGATTTTCTGAATTGACAAGGTTGATCGCTGCATCTTTTTCGTGAACCAGGTTGGCCACTAATTTGGCTTTCTGCTCTGACTCTTTCGCTTTAAGACCCAGTTTGTGGCAAATAAAAATAATTTCCCAATGTTTTGAACATTATTTAGTATTCCAGCGTTTAATTGTATGCAAAATCAGATTCCACAAAAATACGTCATATTATTGGTGTTTTATGATACAGAAATTCTGTAAGTATAATAAGGAGCGTTAATGAAATATCAAAGTTTTTGAATGAGAAAAGACCTGGATTGAAAATTTGACTTCTGAAGTAACTAGTAGATTGGATTGGTGTGTTCTTGTTGTGATTGAATTTCAATCAAAAATTAAGAGAAAAGTTAACCGAAAAGTGAGGTTTTCTCTTTGTTAGCTCATACAGTATTTTGAATATTTTTTTTTGTATTGAAGTTATTGATAATTCTTTTGGGAATCCAAACTTGCCACCTAGGCTAGTTTCACTCTGCCACCCTAACATCACCAGAACCAATGAGAAAATTATCTCTTTCTGTTTTTGTGAGTTTGGCTGTTGTACGAACTCGCTTTGCATTTGTTATATAAACCATATATAGTTTATGCTTGACGTTCCGAATTTCCAAGTAAATTTTTGCCGAGGGAGTTTTTCTCTTTTTGACTTCTTAACTGGCCTTTTTCGCGTATGTTTTCATACGATCTTAAAGATATAGAAGTGGAAAGCTCAAAATTAAAAAGTAAATTTCACCTGCGAGCATAAGATCCTAAGCTTAAATTTGAGGCTACTTTGACCTCTACAATTCAAATTGGGATAAATAACGTGTGATTATTTTCGTCCTACTGAAGCGTTGCGAAAAGGTAATCATTCCAAAATAAATTGAGGCAAGCAATTTGCTCTTATGTTTTCTTTACATCGCGGGCGAAGGGATACAAAGATTTGAATTCATTTTTCTCCGATTCTTTCAACTACTTTTTATTTGATTTTAAGAGTAATGAACGTAGTGCAGACTCTTATATAGGTCTTGGTGATTTTTTTTAGGAAAATTTGTAAAATGCTCTAATAATTACAGATGTGCATTCATGCATATTAATGCATTTATGAATGCACTTAGGTATATATGCACTTTTTGAGTTCAATTGAAATTCATCTGCTGAAAGTTACGTAAATAGCACTCTCTAAATGCGAACGTGAAAATGGCGCGAAAAAACGCGAACCGTTTTTAGTTTCGAAAGCGGAATTTAATTTTAAGGTTTCCAGCGGAATAAAAACTTTTCTTATTGATCCACTTTTCTCATGGTGGGTTAATGTTATCAACGAATCTCCAATCATGAAATGTTTAAGAAATTCAAAAAGCTTAAAGGGAATCTATTTTCTTTGAAATTCGAAAGTTGAGATTTGTTCTGCAAAGTCAATGTTTTCTGTTTATTTGCGTTCATTACTTGTTTCCAACTGTCAGTTGGCTATGTTTCATTATTAACGCGTGCATCACTTTAAAAGGTCTGGATTGTGTGGTTTGTGTGTTAAAGGATATTGAAGTATATTTTTTAAAAGTGCGCGATGTTTGTATGGCTTTTTGATCTGATCGTTATTCATTTTTGAAGACGTAGTTGATCTTGCCTAGTTTGCTCAGTTGCCTAGTTTTTGTCTTGATTCTCTCATCCAACCACCAATGTTTTTTTTCTTTGTTTGTTAATAATTGGTCGAAACTTTCTGTACTACTTGTACAGCAACGGGTTTTCCTTGTTTGGTTTGTGTTTTGTGGAATACAGTCACTTATCCTCAATGATGGCTTGGTTTTTGTGTTTCTTGTTTTTGGTTTTTTGTAGTATGAAGTTACCTACCCTAAATGATTGCTTGTTTTGTTTTCGTTTCTTGTAAGGTGCAGTTACTTATCCTCAATGGTTGCTCGGTTTTTATTTGTTTCTCTTTTTTTGTAAGATGCAGTTACTTATCCTCAATGAATGCTTGGTTTGTGTATGTTTAATATGCAATCTTTTATTCTCTCCTTAAAACTTTTATTCTCTCTTAAGTGTTACTTTCTTTAAGTGACTGCAATTTGTAAAATGCAGTTTTTTATTCTCATTGATTGCTTAATTTGTGTTTTTTCTTTTTTTTGAAATACTCAGTTTATTATCCTCAAAGATAGCTTGGTTTGTGTTTTTTCTTATTTTTTGCGAGATGCAGTGCTTATCCTCCTGATTGCTTACAGACAACATGAATTAAAATGGAAATGTCAGCGGCACCACCAGAAGTTAGTGCTATTGAGAAAGACAACCTTCGTTTCGCCGTCGAGTTAGAGTTCGTGCAATGTCTCGGAAACGCCAAATATTTAACACACTTAGCCCAGAACGGATATTTAAAAAAGAAAGAGTTTGTCAATTACTTGAAGTATCTGCTCTATTGGAAAGATACCAAGTATGCTAAGTATATTAAATTCCCAATCTGTTTGAACCTTCTTGAACTCTTGCAGCACGAATCCTTCCGAGATGAACTGAATAATCCGCAGTGTTCGAAGTACATCGATGATCAAATTCTGTTGCATTGGCAGCATTATACAAGGAGACGCGTCCAATTGCACAAGACGTTTCAGGAACAGTTTTTGACGCGTCAACGGGGAGCGAATAATACTGCCAACTCATCGATTGGAGAAGAAAATGATAATACTGTTAGT